ACACAAAATAAATCCCAGCCAAGGGTCAGGAATGTGACACATCATGACCTGTGCTTCTCAGTGATTCATACGTAGACGTTAACTGTCTGTACTATGTATTATGATATATTTGATTTCTCCTGCCACACACTGAATGTTGTGTTTTTGTCATAACTACACTTTGCAAAAGTATTTACATCAAAATGTTTTGGCCTGCGTGGATTTACGAGCTCATATTTCCGCTTCCTGCACAGTTCTGCACAAAGTCTGATAGAACAGAGCTCACTTTGTAGAATCACTTTGGATTTTTACAAGAACGGTGATTTCATACCAGATCTGATAAAACCTTGTTACTAAAGCGATATGGAAAATACGGAATGAAAACTGACCAACACAAGTTTTAAAGGAAACATAGAGCATGAAAGTTCACAGTGCATTCATTTTCTGTTTTACGACTTCTTGAAGTGAAATGGATGTTATACATGTAAATGTCAGAGCACATTATGGTTTTATTTGTAAAATCTCTGACTAACCAGTACCTGCAGCATAAATGAGAATCAGTTATTGCAGTTTTAAAATAGAAAGACACTGAAGTGCCAGAAGCTCTTATTGTACTAATACAGTGTTTGAGTAAAAACTGAACTGGCTCTGAAAATGACATTACAATTTAAAACAAAACTATTTTATTTCTTCTTTTTTTTGTCAGTTTCATGTAGGTTAACTCATCATCATCATCATCATCATCATCATCATCATCATCATCACTGCTGCTTGACATGAGCACGGTGGTCCAGACAGGTTTGGTTCTACCCAGGACGCTGGTCAGAGCCTCAGCCGCCTTTGGGACGATGTGTGCTGAAGGCTTATGGGACTGGAGAGAACAATTCAAGACCACTTGGCTGCTCCAGAACCATAAATCCAAGTAGGTTAACTATGTGAACCAGATATAATCCTTTTATATGAAGCAGTGACCTTGTTGGATTCCTGATGTTCTTTCTCCTATATAATGACTTCTATTTACAACTTTTCCAAAATAGAAACTAACACCAAAATAAAATAGGAGATATAGCAGCAATATACAAAACTATCCTCTCAGACTAAAGGCTGTTTACATTATTCAATGCTTTGAACACATGTTGCCATAACAACCACGTTTCCAGCTTCATTCTTCTTTTATTTTTTGCCGTTTTTTTTGTTTTTGTGTCGTTTGGATAATTCGGGTAAAACATGCACATGTGTGATTTGTATTTATTTATTTAAACACAGTTTTTAGATAGAATCAACATGTTTTAGACCAAATGACTAAAAATATGCAAATTAATAATATTCAGTTTGAGCTGCCGTGATATCGATTCAAATGAAATTCAGTTTTATTTGTGTGGCGCAATTTGCAACATTTGTCACCTCACAGCGCTGAACACAATAAAATATAGACCTTAGAATTAAAACAGAACCAGCAATCCAAAGTTTGGACTCTGAGCAGCGGTGGACGGAACCAGAACACCGAGGAAGGAAGGAAGGAAGGAAGGAAGAAAATATCTACGTCCTGAAATGTAAAAGCGACGAAAAGCGCCGAGAATGAACAAATGAAAGAGCAGCGATGAAGGAAACAGATTCAGGTGTTGGTGCTGTTTTTACAATTTAAATGAGGAGATCTGTTTACAGGGAAAGTTCAGCACATCTTCCAAATAAAACGTGGTGCGGTCATAAAAACTATAAACTATTATTATTATCATTGTTGTTGTTGCTTTGCTGATATTGTGGAATCTTAAAATCCACATTTAAACAATATCAGTAAAAAAAAATAGCCCTTCAGTAACATGCAGTGAACAACCGGCCTGTTGTCTCTGGAGCTCTGCGGACAAACGAGTCGCTCCGCGGCCTCGGGGCGAGGCCCGGCCTGCAGGGCCGTGGTTCGGGCTCACCTCAGCCGGACACCGCGGCTCTCTGTCCGCTAACCTGCTGCTGGGAAGCGGCCTCATCACATAATAATCCGCCGTGATGAATGACCGAGGTGTCTGTACTGGACATGAGCTCTCAGTCAGACTGGGAATGATGTCATAATTAAGAACATTAATACATTAAAAATGGTGAGAAGCAGCCAGACAGAGTTCGGTTCCTTTTACTTGTGATGGTCACATTCAGTCACTCATTGAAGTTAGAATAAAGTAAATAAAACACAAACATATTATGAATACTAATAATAATAGTAACCATAATGATATGATATCATCATAATAATCCTGATAATAATTATAATGATGTTAATAATAATAATAATAATAATAATAATAATAATAATAATAATAATAATAATAATGTTATATTATATTATCCTATAAGCTACGTGGTGTTCCAGCTTCTACATTCTGTGAACAGTCCATTAAAGCAGCAGCAGGATGTTTCCTCCATCGTCCGGTTTGTCTCCTTTCTATCAGACACGGAGGCCAAACTGTACCACGGTCTTATTCCTCTTCTTGTACAAAGAAACATCACCTGAACACTGATTATAATTCCTGCTTATTGAAACGAGGAGCTACACTTTCAAATACTTTTAGTATTATTTGGAAAAAGTAAATCCAGTCATAAGAGAAGCCAAAGACAGAGTAAAACGTGGGTTGTGTGTTTTGACAAAAGTGTTTTTAGCGCATTAAACTGGATGTTAATGAGATAAGCTTTTACTAAACCAGTGGTTCTCAAACTGGGGGTCGGGACCCCCCATGGAGGTCCCAAAATAATATCAGGGGGTCACCAGATCATTGTAAAATAATAATAAAAATAAAGCCTGCATTTATCAAACACATTTGCATCAGGGCTGTCAAAATATAAAGTGTAAACTTCTTCCCACTCCTGTTTTGAATTTGTTAATATTAAGGTTTCATTATGTGAGATTCTTCTTCTTTTGAAATTTTCAAAACTATTTTCAAAAGTATTTACATTTGTTTCGATATAATTTGCGCGAAAAAAAGTCAAAAAAAAAATCAAAAAAAAAATTAAAAAAAAAAGAAAAATAAAGAGAGTAAACATTAAAATTAAAAAAATAATTGTAAAAACATCAGACTAAAAACAGAAGAAAAATGAAAAATGAAAAAACCAAAACAGACTCACCAAACCAAACGGGCCGGGCCCAGAAAGTTTGAGACCTGATCTGATCTTAAATGCTCTCTGAGGGCTCCTACCATCGGGGAAGACGCTCCTCATCTTCAGGTAGCTGCTGGTCAGCCGGATGATGGAAGCCTTGTCCAGCTGGGAGGTGATGGCCGCTGGCAGAGGCAGCAGCTTGGCCAGCTCGTAGAACTCTCCGTTCTCTTTCTCTCTGCGCGTCTTGGCCGCGTTCTTGGATTTTTCCTTCATTTCTGAAAGTTTCACAGAAATAACGGTCACGTAAACCCATGCAAGGAAATATCCTACAGCTGGCTTATGTTCCAGATAAACTCCACGTCCAGCATCTGGGTGTCTACACTGCTGGGATCAGGCACGGAACCAGCAGCAGGAGTCATGGATCCATCAGCACTCGGGGACGACTCATCTTCATTAAAGCTCTGCTCAAGTGGAGCGAAGTTCAACTTTACCTGCAATCAAACCAGGAGCCAAAGTTGCAGAAAATCCTGGAAAACACGACGGAACACTTCAGTGTTCTCAGTTCACGCACATCTCCGTCCAGACGTCCAGACGTGGAGCTACGCTGCTGTGTGGACGCGGACAGCCTCTGGTGACGGCAGGAAGAACAGCTCTGACGGGATCCAGAGGACGGAGCAGGACTCGGAGAACCCAGCTGATGTGAACAGACCCCCCTCTCTCTCTCACACACACACACACACACACTCTGTGAAGAGGAAGAACCAACAAACTACACACTGATCACTTTCTTTTTCTTGTTGTGTAAAATATATGAATAGTTCATTTGCAAAATCAGATCACTCAGTTTTGCAGATTTTCAGAAAACTTGTTTTTTTGAGACAAAATGAATCAAAGTGAAGCTGAGTGGATCTGACTCAGTAGAAATGACAAAAATAGAGAGATAACTGACTGATGATTGATGATGGAAACGTGGGTTTTCTGAAGGTTTGTGAAGGTTTTCTGTTTCAGCAAATGAACTCTTCACTTATTTTTATTGTTTCTAAGAACACTAGAACTTGCTGTTGGTCCACATCCTGCTGATTCTTCATTAAAATAGTGGAAACGTGATTTAGACTTAGACTGACTTTATTCATGCCAGAAGGATGTTCTGGTGTTACAGCAGCATGACTGTTCAACAAAGAGGGTAAACAAGACAACACAGAATGTTCTGGTACAAAATGAAGGTAAAATCAAACAAGATAAAAATACAGAAAATATAATAAAGAAGAAAGTCCACAAAATGTACAAAAATATATGATTATATATGATGTGTTTAATTTGAAATAAAAGAATAATTACAATCAGCATAACTACAAAACAATTGAAAAAATCATGTCACAAAAGGTTGTGTCTTTATGAAGCTGTAATTTCTTTGATCTTATCACAATAAAAGAACAGTTTCTACCCACGAGCTGTCCCTGAACGCCACAAATACCCATGAATCATTCTTCAGTGTAAAATAGAAATTCTCTGTTCATACACTGAGTGCAATCATTTCTCAGTTGTTTTTTATTTTATATTTGTTTGTTTGTTTTTATTCTATTTTTTCTATTCGTCAACCCATTGTCGTGTAAACTGTCTAGTATTTTTAAAGGTTTTACACGATGTCTTGTTCACTTTTTGCTTCCTGATGTTTGGCCCTGCCGACGAGAGCTGCTCACTCCGATGTCGTCGTTCTTTCTTGTACAAAGACGATAAAGAGATTCTGACTGAGAGCTGATAAATCAGGAGAAAGAAGAGAAACAAGTTGATGTGTTTGATTATCCTGAACGATAAACTCAAGTAAAAGCAACCGTCTTACCTGGAATACTGAGAATCTTAAGTGGAATGAATACGTCGGGGTGTTAAACTCTGGAGCCTCCTCCCTGTGGGCCACTGTCTGCACAGGCAGTGGGTGGGCTTCCTTGTCAGTTTGGAAGCAGACAGAGAAGTATTTGCTGACCCCAGATGCTCTAAACTGTCTTCAGTGTGTAGAACATCACTTCTCTGATGGAGGTTAGCAGGTTAGAATCGGCTACAGCAGTGTTTTTAGTGATTATGTCACAATATGTCTTCATGTTTTCACACGGGATAGAAAGCATTTTGCATTTTTACTTGCTTGGAGTCGGTACTGGTTGTATCTAGTTTTAACTCTCGGTATGTATAAGACCATTTCAGATCCAGGAAGACTGTGGATCATAGAAGCTGTCAGGTGTCCACAGAAGATACAAGAGATCTGTTATGTCAGAGAACCCAGAAAGAGGAGGCAGACACAGGATAACAAGTCCATTATAAAAAGCTCAAACTCAATCATACAAACAGTATTAAACAATGGGAACAACAAATCAGACTAAATCTAACAAACAACAACTCAAGGAACGAATATTAACAAATCTAACAAAAGGGGCAGATTTATAGAACTAGTGAGGAAATTAAACACAACATATAACTGGCAAGAGGAGAGACAAAAGTGAGCAAACACAAACATGGGAAATTCTGAAAACGTACAAGATAATCCAACAATGGAATGGAATCTAAGAGAAACTGATATTAACTGAACTAACAAAACTGGAATACTCACAGGGAAATGGAACTGAACCAGAGGAAAGAGGGAGGCTCCAGAAATAGGGGGTCGGTGATAAGAGCTGGAGCTGGCAAAGGCACAGGCAGGAAACAGGTCGGGACCAGCAGCAGGTAAAGGCTGGTGGGGACAGGATCAGGGTGGTGAGGGTGTTACTGGTTCAGGGTGATCAGGCTGCCGGGGAAGGCAGGTAGACGACAGGTCGGGGATCGCCATAGTTAATGATCTGGTAAAGAAAGGTGGAATGAACCAAGTTTTAAGGAAACAAGGTAACTGTGAGCAGGTGAGCTGATCCCTGCAGCTGTCTCCAATACCTGCAGTTAGGCCACTGCATGCAGGGCTGGGAGGAGAGAGGGAGGGCAGGAGGGCAGGAGGGCATCAAGGCTGAGCAAGAGGGAGAGGAAAGGAGAAAGAAAGAGGCAGACAGGCAGGGGCTGAGGCCACGGGTAGGGGGTCATGACAAGACCAACACACATGTTTTATCAGGAACAAGACTGATTTTTGTTAATAAAGAAAGGTTGATAACCAAGACTGAAACCAAGATACAACACATACAACAGCATTGTTATGTTGAGGGAGGCCTGTATAGTGTCACCTGTGAATAGGGTTTTGGCCGCCAGGGGGCATCAGTTAGACTGGAGAGATGTTCCTTTTGCTCTTTTATTGACTGTAAACAAAGTGGTATATGGATGAAACAAGAAAGGAATTGAATTGAGTAAACAATACGTGGGTAGTGTAACAAGGCTGCTCAACACTCGTGGCGGCGTAAACAAATGACATTCGACTGCAGATTTTACTTTTACAACCTAATTATTGAATGGCCAGCTGAAAATGGCTTTTTAAAGGCTGAATGTAAATTAGAAAATAAAATCTAATTTAAAAAATAAAAATAAACACAATAAATAACAATTTCTCGATGGGGCTGTAGAATCAGTGGCAAAGTTTACACCCAGGCTCAGAACAATTCATTTTTCTGGGTTTTTTTTAAAATAGAGGCTCTGTTGTAGGAAATCAGCAGCATCCAGGCTGCCAGCTGATCCCCTGCAGCCTGATTCAGAACATCCCTATCAGGACAGAGTACAGTGGCATTATTGATCATTGATCTTGCAATGGAAATACATTGAATTTATTTTAATTTTTATTTACTTAACAGAAGTATTGACATGTATATTATGCAAAAAAAAAAAAACAAGAAAGGCAAAAAAGGTTCATGGACACTCCCCATTATCAGTGTGGTAGAGCCTTGTAGGGTCCCATCCTGACAGCCTGAGCTTCCCTTTAGGTTCTTCCTCCTCTACTCTCATCTCTCTCCTGCTCCTCCACTCGGCTCTCCTTCACTTTGCTCCACTTCTCCTCCCTGTCTGATGTTACTGGTCTTATAAGTTAAACATTAACGTTCGATTATTTACACTCACATCACATCTGATTACAGTGTGATCACTATTTTTTATCGAACCATCATTATTTATGAGTCAGTAAAAGGCTAATGATACCTGGCAAGCGTTATCTCCATCAGGTGTCTTTCTCTTCTAAGATAAATGTGTGAACAAGTTCATCTGAAGATGCAGTCAGCAGTTCCATCACGGCGTTTAGATGTTAGCTTAATGCTATCAGTTAGTTTACTCGCGTTAGCCACACTGAGTTGGCCCCGGGCCCAATTAACTTAAGCTACCGATGTGCTACGAAACAATAGCGGCCGTCAATGTTTTGCTAAA